TTTAAGGGGAGGAGATCGCCAGAACTTTCAATCCTCAAGTGCACAACCTAGCCTTGATATTCCTTCAGAACACAACAAATATGAGCACCACCGAGAAAAGCCGAGCGTACCTTTGCAGTCCGATGTCAGKTCGACATTTTCTTCCTGGTCTGGCTACGAAGGTCGACTGCCTCTTTTCCWTGGTCCGTCTGGTGCAACGCACAGATTCTTGCACCAGATGCATTGCACCAGACRGACAGAAGGGCAATAGCGCCCACAATGGATTCTTTTCAGGCGGACATCTGTCCTTATACCTGTTGTGCGCATAAGCGAGGGTGTTTTGATGTCCCAAATCTGTCTCTGCATATTAGGAATATGTCACACTTCGCTCCATTTCAGCAATCACCTCTCACAAGACTCGATTGGAAGCACCTCACAGACACACTAGAATGGAAACTCCACAACAGACTGAAACCGATCACCTACACCAGAATACTTTATAACTGATCACCTACACCAGAATACATAACCACGAAAAGGAACTGGGCGCCGTGTTGCGCTGAACACCATACAACAATCGGATCACAAAATGACGTGTTGTACAGTGATATCTCACTGGGTATGGCTGCGCCCCAGCTCTCCATCTTGTTACACCAAGAATCATGCAGCTAGGCTTCCACTGCTTGCTGAATTTAAAGAATGAAAGTCGACGTGAAAATTGATGCCCTGCTCGTTACTTCTTACGCGCTATGATTCCCTGGGCCTGGCTCCTCGAAAAAGTCTAGATCTATGGGTTCTGAACTTAGACTTGACAAAGTCTGAGCCCCGGTCCTCGGTCGTCAGGCTACGGCCATTGGTCAAATGGAACGCACTTCTCGCTCTTACCGAGCTTATTATACAGTCTGTTTCTTTATGGCAGATTAAAGGCTGTCATTCTTCGGAATGACAAACTGCAATTGGATGTACATTGTACAAAAATAGGGTTTAGGCCCTTTAGGGTTGCCACGGAATCAAAGGCTGCAGTCGTTGGGAGACAAATTGCGACTCCTAGGGTTTAGGGTTATGGGTTAGGGTTTCCGGTTTAGGGTCTAGGGTTTTAGGGCGTAGGGTTATTGGTCGGGGTTGTGAAAGGAGGACTCATGCTGACGAAGTGGGAGAACGGCCGCAAGTAGGAGGTCGGCAGTGCGCTATATCCACGCGCTGTTTGTCTTCGGTGGGCATCCATGAACTTTGACCATTTCTGTCTTTTTTGTGCATGTGAAACCTTTGACCATTTCTGTCTTTTTCAAAATTTTTATGAATGTGTGACCTTTGACCATTTCTGTCTTTTTTGAAGTTTTTTCAAGTTTCTTGTGCATGTGTGACCTTTGACAATTTGTCTTTTTTCAAGTTTTTGTGCATGTGTGACCTTTGACCGTTTGTCTTTTTTCAAGTTTTTGTGCATGTGTGACAGTTGACCATTTCTGTCTTTTTTGTGCATGTGACCTTTGACAATTTCTGTCTTTTTTCAAGTTTTTGTGCATGTGTGGCCTTTGACCATTTCTGTCTTTTTTCAAGTTTTTGTGCACGTGTGACCATTGAGAATGCCTGGGCCCAATGGTTTATCAAGCATTCATGTAGTGGAATAAGTGACGCTTGGTTCGGATCACAACCTGGAAGATTTGTGAAAGATTCACGGCGACTTCCTTGAGGAATCAGAAGTGTGATGGTTGAAGGTTAAGTCACTAATAATCGCCCCTTATAACCGTCAATCCCACACGACAGCCATGAACAGCAGAAATACTTGCGGCCACAATGCACCAACGTGGCATACAATCGCAATTTACAAATCACACACTTCAAGATCAGGACCATATCTTCGGACCCAATTGCGTTCCTCTTTTGTCGGCCCTTTTTATAAGGGGTAGCTCCAGAGTCCAAACCATATTATTGCAACCAATAGCATCGGGAGCTCCTCCCTTGTTTATCAACAACTTCACGAGTGTACCGCTCAGCTAGAAGGCAGGTACCATGGCAGGAGCCTTTCGTTTTTGTTTTCAAAGTTTTGCGTGTAGAAGCAAATTCTCCAAATTTATGACCAACCATATTTTCAGTAATTTGTAAGCCAAGAAAATATTTTCCGTTATAAACTTGTGCATAGTAACCGACAAATTTAGGCAAAATACAAGATCTACGTGACCTGTCCTTCGGGACATCTGTTAAAATTGGAACGATACAGAGAAGATTAGCATGGCCCCTGCGCAAGGATGACACGCATAAAATAAATAAATAAATAAATAAAAAAAGAAAAAAAGATCTACGTGACCAAATTTTCCGACTCTGGCGAGCCACAAGCGAATGCTTTTTGTGTGATCTCCAGGACATTACGCACAATTTCATGCCTAGTCTCTTCAATTCCCATACACCACCTCTAGCTTCACTCTGCTAGCTAGCAAAGGACAGTGCCCAATGGAGGGTTTTTGAGGCCAGGAAAGCTGAGGAGACCTCAGATGGAAGGTAGTGTTTCACTTATCTCCTCAGAAGCGCATCATTTGACCCAACTGCAAAACATCGAGCTGTGCACAGGAGGAGACGAAGAGAAGAGATGCACCAGGAAAAAACAGGCATAAAGTTTTCCGCTAACAACTGCGGACAAAGGATGAACGTCACAATCTTCAGATACATCATAAAAAATGATAGACTTTTGTTTGATTCCTGAGAGGAAGATGATGAAGGAGTAATAACAAATTTCTAGATTTTTTATTATTAATTTATTATTATTATTATTATTATTTAAATCCAAAGGGAAGTAAGCGTTTAATGGCAAGACTCAAGAAAGGAAATAACTGGCAAACAAAGGAACAGAGGGGAGGAGGTAGAAGCATGAAAACGCACAAGGAAGGGAACGGCGTGTGTCAGACAGATGCAGGACCCTCGAGACAACAACAACAACAACATCCTCCCAGACTTCCACTTGCTAGAATTACTCACCGCCAAGTCGGCTGTCGTTGCTTTCAAGTGTGTTCGCATGTGGTGAGCTGTCCTCTGCACCCTTACTGCCATCACAATGCACTTGTTCAGCATGGCGGTCAGGTGCGGGCGCTTCTCTTCTCCGCCTTGACCATTGTTTTCCAGTTCCCAGACRAGACCAAGCGCACCCTCGACAAGCTTGATTCCTAACCATGCAGCGTTCTGCAGCACAGCAGCCCAGCAATTGACGGTGGCGATCCGCTCGCCCCTCGAACGARATTCGAGCATGCTGTGAAGCTCTGGCGACAAGAATGTGCTCTCCATCATCGCAATCTTGACGCCCGCTTGGCCGATCCAGATCAGACGGTCCAAAATTCCCTGCGGCGCACGCGCCGATCTCGCCAACCATCCTAGGCTGTCGGAAAGAGCCACCAACATTGTCTCAGAGACTCCAGGAGAGCCCGCCGACCCCCCTATCCGTCCGGGGTCATCAAGCGTATCTCGGAGAAGCACATGGTTGGTGCCCAAGGACGACACACTCGACTCTTCGACCACCTGCCAAATTTTGTCATATTCATCACAGTGATACCTTCGCAGTAATGCCGCCAAAGCTGCTGCATCCGAAGAGTGCAACCGCCCACCTTTGGCAGGGTTCCTATCTGACGTCAGTCGCACCAGCCACGTGCAAACTTCGTCGACGTCCGAAAACGAGTGTTCTCCGCGCACATCTGTGTACCTGTTTTCCCTTTCTGGAACAGCTTTTGAACCATGCAGAACCCCTGGAGGACCTGCCGAACCCTCGCCCTTGCAAGCTGGACGGGAGCAGAGGACCATCGTCAAGATCAGCCCGGTACATCCAATGACACTCCACACTCCACACTCCACTTCTTCCACGCTGTCCTCACATTGTATCGACAAAGCTCCTGGGCAGCAGACAGTGGGCCAAATAACACTCAGCATACACGCCGTACAGGCATATTTGACTTGAAGTTTGAACCCACAAGCAAGAAGCACAGCATCGATAAGGGCCTGGCTCCACTGGTGCTATGTTCATGCTCTGAAAGCAAGAACCTGGATATCTGTAGGGGGGGGAAGGGTACAGGCGCAATGGACATGAGGCTATGGATGTTACAGAAACACAGTGAGAGACAACTGGCAGATCATGGACCTCAGAATCCATCGCGATTTGAACCCATGATCTCTGTTAATCAACAGTCGCATGCATGTACCATTCATCCCCAAGGTCGAGTAGGTAATTAGGAAGCTAAAGGAGCACAGTGGAGAACTTGTGTTGTTTTCCGGTACTGCAAATGTCAGGCCAAAAGTCGGGGGTACACATTAACATGGTCAGGAGTCGAGCAGTGCGGAATAAATGTGAGAAACAACAGGTAAACAAYCATAGAGCAGCAGTTCCTACATACCGGTCTTCACCGGAATCGAACGCCCGGTCATTATTGTCGTAAGTGGTGCAAMTTTCAGGCTAGATGCAGCCGGTCATTATTGTCGTAAGTGGTGCAACTTTCAGTCTAGATGCAGCGATAACGACCGGGGGCGTTCTATTYGGGGTGAAGACGGTAGGTCTGGCGGATCTAATGGTATATGCTGCTGTTTCCACGGCACCCATCAGGTCTGGCGCAGAGCACACGTGGTTAACAAGGGGGCGTGATTTTCGGCAATTTTTGTTTTAGATGCTTGTAGTATGAGCCCATATTGTTTATTTCTCGAAGTTTTTTTTCACTATGTTGCTTGTGGTGACGCAGCGAAAACGGCAAGTTTTCGGCCCTCCATTAACCATACTCTCGGGTAGAGGGGAAGAAGGAAGATACCTAGATTACCAGGACTCAAGCAGCATTGCCTTGATCATCTTTCCTCTCTATCATCTGATGTCCTTTGTTCGCCCTCTATACTTTCGTCCGTTTCAACTTGGTCTTCATGTACAATGCTCACCTGCAGCATTTGCCAATCAAACAGAGGCCAAGGCGCACAATACACCGTCAAGCTTTCTCCGGTCATTGAAAGCTCCTTCCATCCCCATAGGATCTCATGATAGGCTCGATCAAATACATGCCCACCTGCCCAAAAAAAAAAAAAAAAAACACACAAGAAAAACACAAACAAACAACCATTCAAGCATGCCAACATGCAGAAAGATGCTCACACAGAAGAGATGAACTGCAGAAGTAGCACAAACACCCTTCTCAATGTGTCGTGAACCTACGTTTCGTACGGAAAGGCCCCGTACGTGTACATTTGGTAATGCAGTCGTGAACTACTCAAATCCCAGCTATAACGCCCGTCGCAGAGCACCTCATGCGGAGAACCGTCACAGCAACATACGCATGCATGTTCCTAAAGATGTGAACCACCTCTCCTCTGGGGCTCTACCACAGCCCACCACTTCCTCCTACGTAAAGCCTGCCCCTACTTTAGATGATGCTCCTCCTAGGATCGACTAGACCTCACTAGCCTTTGCTAACCCCTGGCACGGCGACCATAACCTTTTATTTTGTTTTTTTCTAGGTTGTTTTACCGGACGTCAGGGACCCCTGGGTTGTCCGACCGGACGTCTGGTCGGACGTCGGACGATCTCGGACCGGACAAGGGTTGTCCGACCTAGCGCAAAAAAAATAAAAAAAAATAAAAAAATAAAAAAAATAAAAAAAAATCATGTGGCTTCTACCTTGCATAAGGTGTATGCCACCAAAATTTTGGCTCATTTGAGCCAGTAGAAAAAAAGATAAAATCTTCAAAGTTTCTAATCCCCACCTATATCCCTCCTATCCCCACCAAAACCCCTCGTACCCCCCCCTCCCACCCCAAATAGCACCCTATCACCAAATGCTCAGAAAATTCTGAATTTTTTTATGGGGGGTCTCTATGGCATGCGCAACACTGTCATAATTTTTATTTATTTATTTATTTATTTAATGCCAAAAAGTGGTTGTCCGGGATCCCGGACAACCCCCCTACCGGATGGCCGAGACGTCCGGCCATCGGACGACTGGTAACCTAGGTTTTTTTTTGTTTTGTTTTGGGACAAAGCTCCTCCAATCTATTCGAGGGGAGCAGCACGTGCTGGGAACCGGGCCCAGCGTCCCATATGTAAATTGTACAGAAAATTTGAAGCACCGGGGACCTTTACTCGGCTTCGGCTGAGAAAACAGACTATAGACACTACCGAACAATTCCGAAGTATTCCAAACTATATCCATACCCCTTACAGTTGTCCTCACAAGGAACTGTAGACGATGGTGATCCTAGTCGCAGCACTGAGAATACTTCGTGCACGGGGCAGGTGCTGCACCGTGCAGTTGCAAGTATGAAATGCAATTAAAAAATTCATTAATAACTCCTAATCGCCCAGACAAAGTAGCAGAANACGGGGCAGGTGCTGCACCGTGCAGTTGCAAGTATGAAATGCAATTAAAAAATTCATTAATAACTCCTAATCGCCCAGACAAAGTAGCAGAATACCGGTGATCTGTAAGCAGGCAAATAAATCTGTTACCCCCCCCCTCTTGTCTACAAGTACCACAATTACTTTTCCTCAGGGCAGCACTGGAGATCTTTTTTTTCTTTCCTTCTTTTTTTTGGGACCGTTTCTCGATTTGTGCATGACATCCTTGGCGCAGTGTCCATGCTAATCTTCTCTAGATCGATCAATTTTTAAGCACCAGTACACCACATATCGGCCCCGCGGGGTGTCAGCATGAAACCCGCACCACTTCGGAGGCCGCCGATTTTTTTTTTCATCGGCGGGCCTGACCGCGCGGCGCCTCCGAGTTTTGCTTGTGGCGACAAAAACGTTCTGCAAGGCTGGGGCCCTGTACT